TAGAGGACAGAGTGGAACTGCCCACAGGGTCTCCAAGGCTGTCAATCTTCACAGAAGCAAAGCCCAAACCACACCCACTGCCTGGAGTCCATTCTGACCCACAGCGCCCCTAGAGGACAGAGTGGAACTGCCCACAGGGTCTCCAAGGCTGTAATCCTTCTATCACATCAATATCCATCACCTATCTAATGTACCTATTACCGTGGTTCTCCACTGGACTGATTCTGCCCCCAGGAGACACATGTCATGTCTGCACACATCTGTGGCTGTCACAGCTGAGGGGGTGGGGGAGCTCCTGGCATCTGGTGGGTGGAGTCGGGGGATGCGGCTCCACCCCCTCCAGGGCCCAGGGCAGCCCCCACCCCCGAGGACAGAAGATGCAGCCCCAAGCGTCCCTGGGGCTGACGCTGACAAACTGGTGTGGACGGGCAGTGCCACTTGCAGCCAGCACCCAGGTCTGTCACCCCGCCATCCTGAACCACCCTCCTCGCGGGACCCAGACGCCCCTCCTGTGACCAGGAAAGCGCGCGGGACCTCTCGTCACCACGGGGCCAATCACAGGAGTGCTGCCGGCTTGCACCGGGTGAGCCCTGCTGGACTCTGGGTTTCAGAACTGAAGCTGGTCAGTCCCACAGGACCTGGCCCCCTCAGCCAGCCGTCACGGGGCCTGGGACGCCTTCCCCACCTCTGAACTGCACGCCCACCTCACGGCCGCGGCCAGGTGGCCCCAGCACAGGTAGGTCGTTCTGGACAAGTACAGCAGCATGTTCTGCTGGGACCTGGGGCTGCTCCTCGTCAGGAAGCTTCTGGAGAGAGCTGTGTTCTGATAGAGAGCTGTCGAGAGACACGGAGTCAGAGCGCACGGAGGTGCCTATGGGCCCCGCCTGCCCCTGGCGACACAGTGACGTGACGCAGACCTCACGGGGAGCATTAGTGTCCCCACAGGTGGGGTTTCCACTGAAGGGGCCAGTGGGGGACACACGGGGGGGGGGTTGGGCTTTGCTAATTGCACAGGAACAAAGCTCATTTAGCAGAAGAGGTGGCGGGGTAAAAACGACGGGGGTGGTGGATGGAGGGTGGACAGCACTGGACTCTGTCAAGGACAAACATTTTCTGAAAAACAAAAAACACCCTCCCCTCTACTGTCACCATGTCCCGTGAGAGAAAGGTCATTTCAATACTGAACTGAGACCTCCCCGTTCTCGTGACCGACAATGCTCGCACTGAATAAGCTGCGTGGCTCAATGGTTAAGTGCAGCTGCAAACTAAAAGGTCAGTGGTTCAAACCCACCCAGCGGCTGCAGGCAACGCACCCCTGGTGATGTGCAGCCCAGGGGGGGCCGTCCCAACCTGCAACACACAGGGGTTGCCACGAGTTGGAACTGAGAGTTGGAAGTGACTCACTGACATCCAGCAACAGTCTGAGAAAAAAGTGAGTCCACTCTGATTTTTTTGTCCTTATCTTTGTCTTGTTCATCTGACACGGTTGCCAGTGCACACATCAGCGTGTGGAAACTGCCACAGCAGAGGTCAGAAGACTACAGCCTGTGCGGCACACACGGCCCTCGGCCCGTGTTTGTAAATAAAGTTTTATTGGCATACAGCTGTGCACGCTCACTTACGTGATGCTCTGGCTGCTTCTTAGCTACAAGGGCAGGGCTGGGTTGTGGCCACAGAGACCGCACAGACTGCAAATTTGAGAATGGTGACTCCCTGGCACTTTACGAGAAAGGGGTGCTAAGGGCACAAGTTCCAGACAGTCCTTCAAAGGCAAAGTGCGCTTACCTCTTTGTCCCCGCGTCTCCACTGTCAACAGCTCCAGGGATGCACAGGCGTCCAGGAGAAGCTCCGTCCCGTGGGGGCTGGTGCCCAGACGCTCAGCCACCACGGCCGAGCTCAGGGGCTCCGGGGCCTCAGCCAGGAGGTCAAACACACCCAGCTCACAGGCAGCAAAGACAACCTCGGGGCAGCCGGGAAAAGAGGCCACAGCCCTCAGCTCCCTGGATCCACACCCAGGACCACCCTTAGGTGGGACCCACCCTCGGGGACAGCCCTCAGCCGGGAGCCACACCAGGACCAGCCCTCAGTCCCCCAGGATCACCGCCCAGAACGGCCCTCAGCTGGGAGCCACAGCTACGACCGTTCTCAGGTGGGACCCACCCCCGGGGACAGCCACGGAGGCCACGGCCCTGATTCTCAAAATGCCCCTGGCACACGATAGCTGTCCAACATTCTGCCAGTTTCAGACCCACGACTACACTCTGGTAGCATGGTGCCTAAGGCACTTGACTGCTAACCAGAAGGCTGGCGGTTCAAACCCACCAGCCTCTCCTCGGAAGGAAGGTTGGGCAATCTACTTCCGCAGTGATACTGCCTCGGAAACCCAAGGAGGGGTTGCTGTGAGTCAGGGTCAACTCGACGGCACATACCAACAACAACACTAGACACACACATCGTGACAATATTCCTGTTACAGACTGAATTGTGATCCCCAAACATGTGTTGGAAGCCTAACCCTTAAATGCAGCTGTTAAGCCCTAAGCTGGTAATGAAAAAGTCGGCAGTCTGATCCCATCAGCTGCCCCGAAGGAGAAAGATGAGGCAGTCAGCGTCCGTGAAGACTGACAGCCTGGGAGACCCTGTGGGCAGTTCCACTCTGTCCTCTAGGGGCGCTGTGGGTCAGAATGGACTCCAGGCAGTGGGTGTGGTTTGGGCTTTGCTTCCGTGAAGACTGACA